CATTTGACCCAATGTGAATTTCTCAAATAAATGATATTTCACAGCCCGGTGGTTTCCTCCCTGCTGACATGATAATTTATTGTGGCTCACTCAGAACTGGGCTTTGACGGAATTTTCGGTCAGTGGAAGATAAACTGAAAAATTTCAGTATCTGCCTCTGTCTCTGAAGCACCATGTTCTGTAGCTTCAGAATAATTAAATGAGAAGGCAGGGCTAAGTTTTTCCCTTTTTTAAATTCCCTCTGTTGCCTCTTCAAATACAGCCTATCTTCTAGTGCAAAGACCATGTGATTTTGAAGACATGCTCCTATTCAGCCATGAGTTACAGGAGGCAAGATCAATGGCCTCTTCTAAGCTTCCTCTGGGTCAAAGATCTAGAAAGAGCATAGAGCCAAGATTTCCAGGACAGAAAGCAAGTCCCTCTGCAGCTCAGCCAGCCCGACCTAGGCAGCAGGCACGTACGGCAGCAGGCTGCTGCGAGCACCAGGAGATGCTCTCACTGCTCTGTTTGAAGCCACATCCTAAAGAGCCAGACTGGCACCAAAGGAAATGTCAAGACACGTGAAACAATTCCAGCTGTTGAGAAAGCAAGCAGGCTCTGCCAGGAGAGGTAGGTATTGCCCTCATCCCGGCCAAGTCTCCAAAGCACTGCTGGTAACCTTACCTCTTCCCACTTTCATGGCAGGGGCAAACAAAGCCCTAGTCCTGGGAATCATACAAATTCAGTTCTATCATGTGGCAAAGTAGCTTTAAAACTCTTCGTAAGCAGTCAGGGACTTCTCACGTATATTCAATGAGAAGTCCAGGCTCCTGGCTGCTGTCAGTTAGCGTGGCTTTACCAGGTGGCTTCAACAGAGACACACAGATTTACAGCAGGTGTGGATCTAGACAGAAATGGTGTAGTTGTGACTAACAAAACAGTTGAAGGAGGGCCTTGGGAGTCAGTCCTCTTTGAGTGCTTCTGCCCGCAACCATCACAGGCCCTGCATCACGTGGGCCTGTTGTTAAACACATCAGGCCCTGTCTGAACATATTTTCCACATTTCAGCCACTATCATGTATATGGTACAGAACTTGGAGCAGTGGTGGTTCTTCTTCTTCGCTGTAGTGCGATGTCACAGTACGATAGGCAGTACGGCAGGTGTCATCTTCTTACAGCTTTAAAAAACCACCGTGTGGCCAATGTGGAGGTTAGCTGAAGTCCATTAGTTGGTAACTCAGAAACTAAAAGACATCAATAACAGGCATGTATTAGTAAAAAAACACCAGAGAAAACCATTTCATGTGCTGTGGGGATGTTACGTTGCTGTTTAATTTGCTTTGAGAAAGCGGCCGCACTGACTGCCCCCGAGTCCTGCAGCACTTGAGAAACTGCTGCTTAAGCCTCACCCTTTGGCCGTGCATACGCTCATGTCGGCAGTTGTACGTGATTATCGGTGTTTGCAAAGTGATTATTATGGCACAGACAAGATAAAGAGTAAGTCAGAACCGTAACAAATGTCCATGGTAATCTGCCACTTGCGTTCAATGCCGTACGTACTTGTGAATGGCAAGCGTCCAAGCCAGCGTTACAGGCTGCAGTCAACGGACTCGATGTGCGCAAGCCTCTGAAACCGCCCACTTTGGAGAGACTCTGCAGAGATTATTTTTTGTAATTTAAATATAATGAGAAAATACTGTCACTGAGAACTGACACATGACTAACCGTCACCGAAATCTTGCTCCCAAGGAGGCACCGTGGGTGTATCGACCAATGTCACAAGGATCATACCTGTATATTAAAATTAGTTTTTCCAAAGGTAGTTATTTCAAACAAACTGCCTAAGTCTGAATCTACAGACAACAGAGAACTATATATGCAGTCAATAAACAAAAAGCAAAAAATGGTGATTATTTCAATGACTGCTGAAACAAAGAATAAGCTGTAATTTTCTGATTCATAAGAGAAGAGCTCCGCTCCTCTTTAGGAATGTTGAATCTAATCTGAGTTGCATGAATACAGGAGTGTGCCTTTCAACAAAAATTCACACCACTCTTTTTGAAAAGGAATTTCAAAACAGTTTCTCATGGGAAACTTTGATTTTTCTCCCCTTTTAATTTCAAGGAAGACATGTTTTTCCATCTTGAAAAAAGTACTTGAGCCTTTGGACAGGAGGTAAATTAGGAGTAATGTTTTCATTCACTGTGGAATAATTTTCCTACACAATGCGGTGAGATAGCAAGACCAAGACAGACATGCAAGTACAGAGCAAGACGAATTCTCCTCACCAGATTTTCTCTCAGTAGCCAGCTGTTTACGTTAGATGGAGATACTCTTTTCTCTTCTGATCCTATAAAGCCTCAGCTGCCAAAAGCAAAGAGCAAAGTCAAGGTGCAGGGACTAGAAACAGTGACTTAGTGATTACCCCTTTCCTTTCCAGCCAGTGCTGTACCAGTAGGCCAGAAAGAGCTCAGGAGCACTGGGTTACCGGAGGTGCCATCCTTTGTGGGCTGGAACAGGGGCTGTTCAGCACGTTAACAGCCTTCTTAAAAATGCACTTTAAACAATTATGTTCTGTGCTACCATGGTGTATTATGTTTGCTCCATACTATCTTTCCTGTTCCTCTGCTGCTGTATTTTGCAGCTCTGTGCTGTAAATGCCTTTTTCACCTCCGAGACACCTGCATTTTCCTGGGAAGATATACTGATCCCTGAGGTGTGGCTGATGCATCACTGTGCTTAGCTTGTAAAGTAGCTTGGGGTCCTTTGGGATACAGGGTGCTTTGTATGTGTCAGCTGTGATTCAGTGAAACTTGCTTCCATCTGAACCTACTGTATCAATCAGAGAAGCAACATAATTAATTATGACTGGGCTGCACGGAATTTGCACACATCAGAAGCAAAAGTCCTGGAGTTGTTCGTGCTGATGGTAGGCATGAAGATGAACAAGATGAATAGTGACACTGCCATGAACTGTGCCTGACTGCTGTCTTCTCCTGCCATACATCATCATCACCACATGTTGGGTGGGAAGGGGAAGCCGTTCACAAAAGAAGGGTCAGAACAATGAAAAACTTTCATATATCTCTATCCTCCTCTCTTCAGGAAGTAGCTTAAATTATGTTTCAGCTGCTAGGCAGTGGATGCAGTACTTCAACACAGAAATGACAGAAGGAGCCCCCCTCCCCTCAGAAAAGAGAGGTTAATTTGTCAAGCCATGTAAAGCATTTTAATTACAATTCGTATAACATGTATAAATAAATATTACATTCTTTCAGTCTACAATGCATACTAGGCATATCTTGTTAAAACGTCCATCTATGTTACTGGGTGGCAGGATTGATTTCGTCCAAGTAAAAAAAAAAACCCAAACTACTGAGTTTAGTAACAATGAAAAAAAAAACATGGTAAAGACAGGACAATGCAAGTGCTTCTAGCTAACAGTCAGGACATAACACTGCTTTCCAAAAGGGTGGATATACCATCTTCCTTTCAGTTACAAAAGATTTGGGATGACAGTGGGTTCCTCGTATAGATTTTGATCCGCGTCCTCCAATAGTGTAAACTGGCACTGAGTCAACACAGTTCTTCCAGCTTACACAACAAATCTACAACTCTGTTTTGTATTTGCTTCAGATTTATTACTGGCTTTGCATTTGCTTATTCAGAACATCAGCTTTACAATCTAGTCTAAAATTTTCAGTCTTAGCTGGTCCAATGGCAAAAAAACAAAAAAATCTATAAAATAGCTCCAGATATTTCTTGATCTTGCTTCAGCAATATTTCCCTCCCTTCCAATGGTCTGTCCAGAGGCCAGCTCTCCCAATATAAAGAAATAAAAGTTTGGGGACAATCAGTGTCTTTCTGTCCATTCTTCTTCTAGCTTTCAGAGCTTGATGAGAGCTGGTGACATTAGAATAAACAGAAAATTGCAGAACAAAATTAAGAACTCATGGACTTGGCAAAAAACCAAAATCCAGGCTGTACATATTTGGCTTCTGATGGTCTCAGTTCCAGGTGCATTTAAAATGCACCAGTGGGGCAACTCCCATCGGTCGTTACTTCAAGACGCTAACATAAAACAGCACCTTCTTCCCTTGGTGAAACACGGGAACTTTGGTTGTGGAAATTTAAAGCAAACAACTAAATAAACAATTCAAACCTGAAAGTAAAAGGAATGTTTCTTCCAAACACAACGTATTTCTAGCTAGGGTGAAACAATGGAGGCTTAGGCCTTCAGGAGAGACGCCACATGAAAATTAGTCAATACTTATCCCCTGAATTCTTTAAATGACAGGAGATTATTTATAGCTAATTTAGAAACAAAATGTTCTTGGTTCACGGTGAACTTTGTGAACTGAAATTCTTCCTGCTTTTAAGATATTCAAAAGAAAAATACAAGAGGGAAAATTATTCTGTTTCCACTTACAAGACAAACAGACAAGTAAAAATAAAAATACCAGGTAACTTCTTCCTCCTTCATATGTAATGCCAAAGACACATCTTCACTTCAAAGGAAGGAATAAAAAGAAACAGCTTGAATAACAATCTAAAAAGTCTCCTTGTGGGTCATATGTCCATAATTGTGATGTTTTATTAGAAATACAGACAAGTTATTTTTTGTCTCTTGCTTATACTTTTCATGCTCTTATATTCTCTCTTTTCTTTTTACAAACATTTTTGGTACTTTGAAACATTACCATCATTATTATTTGTATGACCCATAAAACAAATTTTCACAACCTCATCTTGCTCAGTTCGTCACACTGCTCATACCATTCCTTTCTGCTATTTATATTTCACTTCTTAAATCCACGAGTAGTGGAATAACCACTGGAAAAGCAAAACAAAGTGAAAACCAAAAACAAACCATGGACAGTTTGGCAAATTTCATTCCCTGATTATAAAACTGCCTCATCATTTCTCCTGGTGCATCCTTCCCCTCCCCCTCTTCTGTCCCAATATATACTGTAGAACTGAAGGCATCAAGGTGTGGTTAAACCCAAAAAAACAGCAAGGAGCTACACTTTGTCTTTGAACTTCTCCATGTAGTTTCGTATCTCCTTGGAGTCCCCCAGGTCCATATCCTGGCACACCCACTTAATGTCATCGTCATTGCTACTTAGGATTGAGTTGACAGTAGGACAACCATCGTCGGGTGGGATGGTAGTGAATGTTGTGAATTTTACCCGCTTCCGTTTAGATGTCGGCGAATGTAAAGGTTCAGATTTCTGTTCCTTTCCAAGCTTGCCCCCTGAGTCAGCACACCTGTGAACCTGGCTCTGAATGTTCTTCTGAGCACTGCCATTGAGGAGCTGGTTGCTCTCCTCACAGCCTGAGCCTCGGTCAATAATAGTTGTGTGCTCATCCTGCTGAGGTGATGCATCTGCTGTGTTCTCCAGCAGTTCTGCTTCATTTCCCAGCCAGACCCAGTCATGGGAATGGGTCATGGTGGCTTGTCCTTCCACCAGAACCTGCTTGTGACGGTACTTCAGCGCAAATGTTGCACAGTTTATTAGGAAGACTAGAATTGCCAGGCAGAAGACCCCTAGCAGAGCATACATCCCAATCTCCAAATCGCTAAGGCCCCTAGGTGTCTGCACCAGATCATTTTCTTCCATGCCTGCACTGCCTTTTGGGAGGTCTACTTGAGCAGGGAAGTTGGTGAAGTCTATAGGAATGTTCTGCAGCTGGCTATCATCCGAGAGTTTACCACCATCCAGCCTATTGTTTTTAATTACTTTATTTCTTATTACGGATTTTGCTGTGGTGCTGACTTTCCTGATGGCGCCTTCCTCTCGCTCTGCTGAAGAGCTACCATAGTATCGTCCATCCTGGCCATACCGTTCCTGATCTGACACTTTGTGCCGCCGGTCGCTAGCATGGTTTTCAATCTCATCAGCGTCATAATCTCCACCTGTATTGGAGTCTGCATCATTCTGGCCAAACTTGACTTTGATGTTGCCATTCCCCACAGCCAGGACACTTTTTCTCTTGGACTTTTGGCAGGCTTCCGAAATCATCATGTCCACCTTGATTAACGTGCCCTGACCGTCACCTTCTGCTGCCACAACTGGCCATTTTAAGGCAGCGTTCTGGTGGACTGAGACAACAGCTTCGTCTAATGATACAGCAGAAAGAGAGAAGTCCTTAGAGTCATAAATGTCCAGCGGAGTAACAGAGCTGTCACTGAACTGAATCCAGGTGCTTACTACAGCCTCCTGAAAGGAGAGGGATATGGTTAAAGACAGGGTCTTAAATAAAACAGCTCAACCCATTGCAGCTCATCAATCTCTCAGCTCTGAACGGCAGCCAGAGGAAATGGAAGACAATGGCTCTGCACTGCATTTAAAGCGATACAAGCTACAACTGATGGGGCAGAAAATTTGTCACATTTTTCACTAAAGATTCCACTATTATCTTTCCTGCAAATGTTTTGCAAAAGAACATATAAAATAATTGATATGAGATGTCTATAATACCAAAGTACCCATTAATAAGCTACAATTTACATGATTTATAAAGAAAGTCATTCCTGTCATACAAAAGCTGAAAGAGACAAACCAGAAAAATTACTAGAGGCACTTGACAGAACACTTATTTTCCTCATGTTCCCAATGCACAAGTGTCAGAGGGAGCTGTCGAATTAAACGAGGCATAAATATCTTAGCAGGAATAAGGTGCTACCAGAGTATCTCAGAAATGGTTGGAGCAGAAGATTCGCCTGAAAGAAAAAGACTCAGGGAACAATTGCCACTTTGCTGGAGAAAGGTTTGTGTTAAGCAAAACACGCTTTATCCTTGAGATAATTAAAAAGTCCACTGCATTTCTGTGTCAAGGAGAGGAGGATGGGGATTCTGGTGTAATCTCTACGATAAAAATACAAATGGCCTGGATTTAATTGGACTGTCTTTGTTCTCTGCAGGTAGCACTGTTAGAAGTCATCATTAGAAGCAAACACAAAGCTAGAGGTCAGCTCTTTGCCATTTGAAATCCCATCCAGATGATATAGATATTTACTTCTCCACGTCTCAGTAGCTTTCTTTGCAGGAGATTTCTTTATTTTTTCATTTGCTCTATGTCTTGCCTGTTTAGCCAGCAGACGTGCAGGCAGATTGCCAGAGCGCAACTTCACACAAAACCGAGGTTCTCTTCTTCCCAGACTTAAACCGCAGATGGCCCTAATAACTTTACACTTGGGTACATCAGAACAACTGGATTGAAAATCACCATCGGGGAAAAACACGGCCGCCCTGTTAATGTCCAGTCATAATACAAATTTACAACCTAGTATGGTTTTCATTTGGCTACAATTTGTTACGCTATGGTTGTAAACAAAGGGAATTGCTACCCTTCTAGTTAAACTTCAAGCTTTTCAATGAAAACAGCACGAGGCATTTAGCTGTGCAGAAGGATGGGCATATTTGATTGAATATTTGATTTCCAAAGTGCCATCAGCAAGTTCTTGAGGGACTGAAAGAAGAAAAATAAGTCGTGGCACAACACGAAAGAAGGCAAAGTTCTTGGTGATTCCAATGCACTTCAAACAGCTGAAACGGAGCCAGGCGAGCTCAGAAGCTGGGAAGCGTGAACTGCGTAAGGAAATTAAAACAGCTGATCTTTCATTAGAGAAGCAACCCTGAAATGGCTGAACAGACAGAAACATAAAGCTGCAGGGCACAGCTTAAATTTATATCATAGAAATCTACAGTACAGCAAACCCAGTTATGGGAAAGTAAAGGATTTTTTTAACAGATGTGCATAGAGAGATAAAGATTCATCTCCTCTGGCCATTCGCCACCCTATTGACTGTCTTCTCCCTAAAACAAGAAGACAGCCTCGTGTACCATCGGGGAGGTGTGTAAGATACACTTACTTCTTATCAACCTATGGAAGGAAAAAGCACCAGCATCATTTGAAGCATATATCACAACAACTTGTCATTGTCTGCCAGTGATGCTCTCTTTTGGAGAGCAGAATGAGAAAATAAGTGCAGAATTCGGTACAGTTAAAGTTGGAAATTACAAGGCCTGTGCCTCCCCCCTGCTCTGCTGGGGACTTCCATAGTTCCACATTTTTACAAAAGGATTTACATTACTAAATCCTTTGTGCATTCCTCAACAGCCAAACACCGAGCGTTGCAGAGCCCCAGATCTGATTATGGCCCTTACTACGCAAGTAGGTTTTACTGGTGGTAGAACAGCACCCCTGAGGGATCTAGGGTCTCTGTCCAGACACTGGAGGGAAACACGTATGAGGAGCCATACATTCTTCTTTCCCATCTTCTTCAAGATATCCACATCCCTCTTTGGTTTTCTTATGCTGACGCCCTCCTGCTTTAACAGCCCTTGGGCACCTTTCAGATTAAGAGGTAGCCAGCATGGAAAAATTCATCCCAAATCGCTAGAATTTCAAAAAGTTGTAAGCAACTTCAGAACAACTTTTATCCTTTACACTATTTCTCCACTATTCTGCATTCCTGGTTTTATGAAGCAGAGACAGAGAAAAATGAAATGGCAGTCAGCTGAAATTTGCAGGCACACATGTGATTTACTACAGATAACAGAGGTGTGCAATAGCTTAGACATTATTTTCAACCAGCATTGACATTTTTTATTTCCAAGAGACCCCTTTTTCATAGGAAGAACCAATTTTTTCACAACACAACACAACATTTTCATGCTTATACTATGGACAACGTTAATTAAAAGGGAAAGAACACAAATGAGAGAAAGAGGCAGAGCATTTCAAATCCTGCCAAAGTATATTGTATCAGCCCAAATATTCTATTTGGCAAGAGATCATCTCTTCTCCTTCATATTGTTAAAGGAAAGCTGAAGGCAGGGGAAGGAACTGAATTTCCTGAATGATTATAAATTCTGAAAAGCTAAAAAGAAAAAAAGAAAGAAAAAGGAAATGATTTAGTACCATGTCCTTCAAAGAGCAGTTTCTGCAAATCCTATGTACCGCATCAATAAATCCCCTCCAAATCTCTGACAAGGTCCTCCAGTTACTATCAGCAGATGAAGATGGATTGGACCCTTCTTACCTGCAAAGTTGCTGCCCCTAGTCTGATGCCCTCAACACTGAGGTGACCAATGCTTGTGCTCGTTAACTATCAAGCATAAACAAATAGTTTGAGGGATGATCTGGCTCTCCAGTCTTTCTTTCCTCCACTTTTCCTCTCCCTTTCACATATGCATGCGCACACACACATACATACTCAGTTGCACTCTCAGAACAAATGAAGCACAACTACACATTAGTGCCAGTGTCTCTTAGAGAACAGGATGATTTATATGGTGACTATGATGATGTGAAGTGAGTCTAATGTACATGAGATCATGTTAATCATGTTAATGACAGCAAAATCCAGTCCAGAGGAGATGAAGAAACTGCTTCCCACAGTCACTGTTGATTATCAAATACCATGCTTTCCCTAAGCACATAAAAAACTTTCTTTATCAAGATGCATTTTGTCTGTGTTTTCCCTTGTGCCTTTGTTGTTCTCTTCCTCCATTCCAGGCATAACCACATGCCAGACCAGCAAGTTGGCCAGTTCTTCTTGATCTGCTGCAGTGCCACCACCTTTTCTGGCCTTGAATGACATTGCTGCTTATCAGTCCAAAGATGCCACTTGATAAATCTTCTTGAATAAACTTGTATTTTCCTTTTTGTTAGTAGTTTTATCTCCCTTGTTATCTACTTGTTATGTTTAGTTGGGTAAAACAAAGGGGAAATTACCAGGGTACGTGGCACTAATGGAAACCAGCAGTCCCTGAGGAGTTCGGTATTGCCTGACCTGGAATACTTCAAACTCTGCCGTATGTGTCACCACAAACGCTATTGTTTGCTGGCTATGTCTGTTCCACCTAGATAAAACAAGGAGGCTCACACTCCAAAAGGCAACCTGAATGCAGGCAGCAGAGCTGGTTTGGAAGCTCAGTAGAAAGCCCATCATACAGAGATCTAATGAGTCCCACTGTGCTGGGACTTGCATGAGTTGCCTGTGAAAATCTGGGAGCCACAGTGATGATTATGTCACCCTCTAAAGAGTCATATAGCATTTGAAAGTCTGCTTATCTTACGACTTTCAACTGAGCCCATCTGTAGCATCACAGTCAGTGATTACAGAGTGTCCTTCAACACCTCCTCAGAAAAGCTGGGGTCAGCTTGATACCAGGGCATGCTATCTTGTATTCTTGAAGCTAAAATAGGGGAGTAAAGTGTGCAGGACTGGTTGAATTTTAGAGAATTCTGCTGCTTAGAAACACCAGCGTGAGGACTGATCGGGATATTTGATTTTATTCCATGCCCAGAATAAAGAGTCCTTTTAATGGTCTTCATTCACTAAAGCACAAATAAAAGCATTTGTGAATCAGCCCTCAATCGCTGGGGTCAGCTGCAATAGTCCTGGGGTGAGGCAGGACACCAAAGGAAAGAAATGGATGGCTCTGCAGAAAACAAATATATCTCTCTCTCAAAGAAAGGCAAGGGAATACTGTTCTCAGCAGCTTCTACTAGACCAGCTCTGATTGTTCTGTCTGGGGACTTGAATGCTGAAATGCGTTTCCCTAGCAATTTTATCACATGAAATATCAAAGTATTACATGTGCATTTATTTTTAAGCCTGTGGCTTGTGTAGTAAAAATTGGGCTTGATGTGGAAATGAAAGGCAGCCAAGACTCAGATCTTAATTCAAACCATGCATTCCCCTACTGTGTATTTCTTTCTCTCCTTTTTTGTCCAATCTGCTAATGTGACATTCCTTTCCAGTGGGAATTTGCTTGTATTTGCAAGGGAAGAATTCAGATTCTTATCTGACAATACATCCTTTCTCCCCTTCCCATGCTGCTTAATTCCTTTGTCATACTCGTGAGCCATTACATTGCTCTGTCAGTTTAAAGAAGATATAAATTCAATTTAAGTGTAATTTATACTGCCAGAATGGGGCAATGAATCCACACCATAAAAATACTCCTAATATCTGTAACTTCACTGCGAGAAGTCAGTGAACTCCCAGAACTAGTCTGCATGCAGGATGTAAGCTAAAACAGGACAGTATCGTGGCAATCCAAAAGGCAGGGACATGCAAGCTACGCTAGCTTGTTGCCCTTGATTCAGGAGGTGCTGAGCACCCTCACCTCCTGTCAGAGTGAGAGCTGACATCTCTGAGGACATTTCCTAAGGTTACGGATGACCTCATAGGGTTGGGTCATGTCACCGATGTCAACAGGAGCTACACATGCAAAAGAGAGGAACTTGGCCTTTAGAGAGCGCTAACATTGCTCTTTTTTCCCTAAGAAAACATCTGCAGCTTTCCAGTAGCACTGAGAGATATATTTATACACACAGCTATTTATTAAAGGCCTTCTTTTTTCTTTCTTTTATTTTATCCACTCTCCCATTTCATTCATCAGACCACATGCAATACCCTACAGTGATGAAAAGGCTATGATACAACTGTGAGTTTCCCTGCAGAGCCAGCTGAAATTTAAGAGTCCTTGAAGCTCACTCAGATGAGAAAACACTTAAACACTGTAGGTTTTCTTTTATTTACATTTTGGAGAAGCCTTTAAGATGGCAGTGTTGATTTTAACAACCGTCAGCAAGCCAAATGGAACAGCTTTCCTACCTGAGCAGATGGCCACTAAAAATAGACTGCTCACAGCTACAGCTTCCAAATTTTCCGAAGATATTTCAACTTTTATATTTAAAAGTTGGTCAGCCTGATTTATTTTTAGGCACCTAAATCATTGATCCACTTTTTAGTGTCAATGAGCTCCCCACTGATTTAAAAAAAAAAGGAAGTATGGGCTCAGCATCCCTCAAGGTCACCTCAGGTAATCAGTTTTCCAACTACAGATACAGATATCTAACTTACAGCAACCAAGATCAGAATTTTAGCTTATCGTCTTTGGATTGCTAAGTGTTTGGAGAAACTTCCAATGTTCCAGGACTTGGTGTTTTGGCTGCTTTGTGCTACTTATGTAGACATGGTGTGGTCAGTATAATCAAGGAACTAATCTAGTCATTAAATTCATTGAAAGCAAGTCACAGCAAAAATACTAAATTTATTCCTATAATATTTAAAGGTCTGTAACGGCACAATCTGTATAATGCTTTACACCTTCCATTGCACTCTACACATGTACTGCTTAATCTGCTAGGGACAATGCTGTGCCTGCCACAGTACCAGTTACCCAAGGACATTCTCTAATCTGTGTTGAAGCCTGGCTATTGAAGGTGCTAAAGTGGAGCCAAGGAAAACATTTGACTACGAACACATTGACTGTTTTTTCCATATAACAATGCTGAGACGTACACAATCATTTCTGAGAAAAACAAAACCTTCAGCTATCTTAACTGTTTTTATGTTTTTCAGTTGCATCAGTAAGGTTTGCATGAGTTACTTGGGCCTTTTTTATAAACTTGTTTGAGAGAAAAAGACACACTTCAATAATGACGGCCTTGTAACATTCAAGTATATGCTTAGTTCTGGGCTGCCCCCTTGAAAAAAAACTCTCTTTCAAAAGGGCTTGATTTTCAGAAAACACTCAGCACTTGCCTCCTGAAATTCCAGCTCAAGTAAGGATCTCAGCTGGTATAATCCAAATGACGAGTCTCTTCTTGCAAATTTAGCCACAAGCTTTCCTGTATTTGCATTAATTCTTCTAAGGGCAAGTGACTTAAACATTGTATCGTTCATTCAAACTGCAAATCAAAGGGAAAGATGTATGTGACTCAAGGCCACTCCCATGCTAAGATTATTTCCCTCAATGTATCTCCTAGTGTGAAATCTATTCCTGCCTTACATTTTCGGTGATGCAAATGCAAAGTCCCTAAGGTCTCTTCTCAACAGCCCTTCCTTGGGCAAGCCCTCCCTACAGGCTGAGTGAGATTTAGGCCAGAGAACAAATGAGTGGCTTGCAATAAGGTGGGAAGTGAATTGCACAGTATGTGGGATTAGCTCAGGCCTCCGGGGTGAAGGCACTGCCAAAGCGCCCCAGTAACTAGGGACCGTGCTCAGGATCCACACTGACCGGGCATGACCAGATCAGGACCACAAACACTCACAGTGCTTGAGCAGGAGCTGACCCCCACAAATTCCCCAAAGTGAGGAGCGATGTTCCCAGCAAAGCCTTCAGGTGGGAAGCAGGCAGGACACTTCATCTTGGTGAAGAGGACGTGGTGGGAAGACAAGCAGAGGCAACACGGGTAAGCAGAGTCCAGACTGGAGGAGCTGGGAGGAGAGGTAGAGGCTGAAGTGGGATTCCACAGGAACATGCTGCTCTATGTTTGCAGGAAACTGGGACAGAAGATGCCATGCATAGGAGGAGTGGGAAAAACTGACTAATTTGGGACTACTACTAAGCAACCACATTTCCTTGGACATTCCAGATCCTGGTGTAGAGAACATTTTCCACTGCCTTCTAATAGAGTCTAGGTCTTATTTTTTTTCCAGGAGTCTGGAGAAGAAACAACAGATTTTATATTTCTTTTACTGAGAAAAGGATGCTTCATTTTCTCTTGTCTCCTGTTTTACAGTCGGTCTCTTCAGTGAGCATGATGGGGTAGTGCTATGTGTAGCCCCAGAGAGGACAGCAGGGACAGTAGCATCCCACACTGCCCAGCAGTACCAGAAGCAGAAGGCATTGCTCAGAATGAGAGCCTGATAACCCCAGTCACTTCTGTATCAGAAATGTGCCACTACGAGGAAACTGAAATTATCCCGCAAAAGAACATCACCTTCAACAAAATATTTCACTGAAATCATTCCATAACACAGATGCTGGGAAAAATAATTTCAAAACACAGCACGTTTACACCTTTTTACTCTTTTGTACTATTTCATAACTTGCCAATTGTAGTGATATATAATGACACGTCATATCATATTGCCATGCCATAATACAATAGGAGATGTCATGCTGCGCACTACTGAAATGCCCTGTCATAATATGCCATAACCTGATACTGATAAATATCTTTGCATACTCAGGACAGATCATCTATAAATCTGAGAAGCTGACAATATATCTGTGCAACCTTTTCAGATTCACAAGCTCTTTTATCTGCAATCAAAGCCATGATTCCTCCAACGATGCTGCAGGACAAATGGTGCTCTGTCCTACATAACAGAATTGGGTTAGGCATGCTTCAGCTCTTGCTTTTACAGGCTTTGGCTGAAGACAATATGTCAGACATGGTTTCTAAGCCCTGGAGAAGGCTATAAATGGGTTAATTACATAAGACTCTTACGTTTACAGGATGCAGTAAATGGAACAGATGGGCAGCATGTCCTTCTAGTTTGGACATTTTCCTGTCACTAAGTTATAAAACAATCTAAATTATTTTTATGTTCCAGAAAATTAGGTAGCAATAATCATGAAAATGGGCCATAAAACTTGACTTGAGATCTCTCTCTCTCTATGTGAGATGAAATATAGTTTATGTGAGAGGAGTAGCTGTGGACAGAGCTAATTGCATGGTCCCCAGTCCCTTTCTTCCAATCAACTGACTGAAAGAGCAATGAACATACAACTTGTTCCACTGCTACTAATCCTTGTTTTAATCTGTTCCAGAGTGACTGTTTGCCTCGATCTGGTGGTATTCTCCAATCTTCTTTTGCTTGTTGGTTGTGACCTGAAACATGCTGCTTGACAGGCTCCCTTTACAGACACGGAAATTTGCTGGCTTAAATGAAGTAGGATCAGCACAGTGACACCCTAATGAACTGAATAATGAACCCCCCAAAATCCATCCAAAAATTAAAATGAGAGAGGAACCTGGCCATCTGCCATGACTCCAGGAGGGAAAAGAAATGTATTTGGCTATCTTCTGCCTCTATTTTACAGCTCTTCAAAATACTAAATTGTTGTGACACACAGAGCTCTGTGCTCTCTGGCATGGAAAACAAGGGCATGCTCATATAGCAAGCAAGGATCACTGTCCAAAGACTGCCTGTATTGCGAAAATAACAGATGTTGCATCATTTAAAGGAAGGGTATTAAAAATGTAAATAATAAAAACTTCAGTGCAGATTAAGTCCATATTTGAAGGGAAGAAATGAGGAGATAATTCCAAAGTACCTCTAGAGGAAAGCAATTTGCACGGACATGTACTACACCTATACTTTAAAGTCTAACTTCTAAACTTATTATGAATTATCATCTGTACTCCACGTTGATAAAACACTGCCCCATCCCAAAAGGCAATATGAGTGTACACTACCTGCTTAGGAGTATGAAGCAGCTCTTGGGCAACGGTTGTAGCCACAATAGCCCGACTACTTGCCACGCTTGGCTGAAGAAAGAGTGAAAGCCCAGCCACCAGCTGGACTCCAAGGTCTGTTATGGTCACTTTGTCATCTAGCACAGTCACCGTCTTCTCTGCCAAGATGGAGTCAGACAGAGGGGACAAAACCTTTGGAGAAAACCAAAAGAATTAACTTAGGAAAAGGCTGATCAACTGAAATAACCTTTCTTAAGGTCATCACCCCTTCTTGTCCCCAAAGCTTTATGCATAGAAATGAAACGGCAGAACACACTGAAAAGGCAGTCTAATTTCATTTGCAGAGTTAGAAAAACATGCAGTAGAGAGGTTGTGGCTGAGAATATTGCATCTGAGAGGTATACTATCTCAGTTGTGTTATTTGCATCATTTAACTAGAAAAGTCGATTTAAAACTTCCTTCCCTGTTATTCTGTGTCCCAGTATGGATGAGATCGTCAGATTTACTTCTCAACCATTTCAAAGGGAGGGTGGCAACATCTAGGATTCGTCCTTCACTTCTTTGCTTAAAAATTCTTATTTCTTTATCTTTTCTGTTTCTGATGGAACATCAGGTTAGTAGGATAACGAAACTTCAATGAAACTAAGGGCCATGCTTCTATCTTTAAGGGAACTAAAGATAGCTAGTTCATGCGCATACTGTCTTCTCCACCTTCCCCATCTCATATCTACAGCGTAGATCAGCTATATTCACTCTTTATGCATTGGCTTTAGTAAGGATTCACCTGGGCCAGAACTGGGATGTGGTGTTGGCCACTTGTGCCTTTCGGGGTTATTAACCCGATTGTATTTTTTTTCCTGAATTAATGTTCAAATAAGTCAAAAGGAGCTTGGCACAATCTAAAGATCTCTGTCTCAAAAAGACAAAATGGTGCCCATCAGCTGACTGGTGGTAATCTGCAACCATGTGGGGCAACAACTCTGACTTCTCACTGAAGTGCTGCCTCTCCTAAGCATCTCTGAAGGCTCTACAGCTTCCAGCTCCTGGCCATGCTACATGCCTCAGACCACCTCTAGCTTGGATCACTGTCATTGCATTAATGCTGTGTGTGATGCTCTAGAAGGTCACAGGAATGTCATGGGAAATTATCTTGTTTCAAGACAGCAGAACACTGTATTGGATTTATGCCCCCACAGAGGGTCTCGACAGGAACAGCAGAATGTGGCACTCTGGAGCACAGTACCTGCATCGTTGTCATTCCTACTTCCCGTCCGATCAAAATCCTGCCTTCCTGCAGCTTGGCAATGTGCGGATCCTCCAGTTTCATAAAATCCATCACCAGGTCTGTAATGTCAAACTGCCAATCTGAGCCTAGCAGGTAGCTCAGCTGGCCCCAAGGGCTAGAATCCTCAGCTACAAATTGTGTGAGGACTCGCACCATGGCATGCTGGTACTGCAGAGTGCATCCTCTTCCTTTCCGCTCATCGTCATCCTCATCATCACTGTCTCTGGTGGGTCTTTTTTCATAAGAAAATGAAGCATAAAGAAATGTTTTCAAGAACATTAGTGAAAACTAACATTAGAGTGCTAACGGAAAGTACCCCCTTCAATCACAGCCCTCCCTTCTGTGTTGTTGGACCGTTGCTGAGTCATGGCCGCTGAGCATGATGAAGAATCACACAAATGGACTATACCACTTTTTCATCCAAGCTGGTATGTCTGAACAACAACAATGCTGTAAGTGGTCCTTACTAGAGTGCCACACTGTACTCTGTTGCACAGCACAGACACACGCGCATAAGCAAAAATCCCACAAATTTTAAAAGCTTTATTATATCTGCAGATATCTGGTGAAAAGCTGGGGATTTCAGTCATGTTTTTCCTCAGGGAAAGATGCTGCCTTCTGCGTGCAGGTGCTGCAGCTGTCCTTGCTGAGAGTTAAAATCAACTTCATTCGTTTTACAAACAAAGCCAAGAAATTTAGCAACTCGAACCCACCTTCTGTTGGAAATAACAGGGACTCGCCAGCCTTTTATTTGGCTCAGTTCTGTGTCCGAAATGTCGATCTGAAGAGGTAGGCGTGGAACCCAGACTGTGATTTGCAGAGGAGCACTCAGATACTGATACGTGAAGTTCACAAGCGCATTCACTTTGCCTTTCATTTCTTTGCCATTGACGAAAACATAGTCACATCTGTCAGAAACCTAAGGTGGGGAAAGAGAGAGAGAAGGAAGAAGAGGTAATCATGGTGACAAAACAAGCTCAAAGTGTAACCCTGGCATCTCAAAAACAAAAACAAATAACAAAGGCTCCCTTCTCTTTATGCATGTTAATGATGGCCTTTTACAACGGGAGCAGCTGAACACGAAAATCCTTCATTGGCTCAGGAGCCATAATTATGCCGGAGATGCCTACAGACTGGATACTATTTATGAAGCTGGTTGTTGATTTTTGGTTTGTTTTGCAGTGAGCCACTGGCTGATCACACTGCTGTGCAATTTGTAATGAGCAAGGCTCCTTCACGGCTTGGTCAAGAGGAGCCCAACAAAACAAAACAGGTCTCAGGGGAGGCAAGCAGCAAATCAAAGCTCTGCTTTGATGAGTACGGTCATCAGTGAGTGACGCTGCTTTCAGTCTTCAAGACAAAGCTGGGTCTGGAGTGGATTTCATCCACTGAAGAGTAACAGAAGTCTACTCATTTCCTCCACAATAAACATTATCTGTTTATAAATGTTTACATTTTCATTAAAGCTGTAAAGTATTTCTAAACACTGCAGTAGATTTATCATTAACATGTAAATGCTGTCCTGAAATATAAGCAAGCATTTTCATAGTCATGTAAGAGTTATATCAGTAATCACTTCTTTAATCAATGTTGTAATTTACAGACCATTGAGTTTTCTCATTTATTACATTACTGAGTGCTAGTGATAAAATCACTCCTGAATATATAAATCATTAAGAGGGATGCAGATAGTATGAAGTGACTCCATCTGATAAAGTCATTGTCAAATCTATTCCTAAAGGTGTCATAAATGTCTGGGGAAATCCTGTGGCACATTAATCATACATTAAGTGGCTAGCAGTGGGAGCTGTTACATTACTAAATGAGCTGATATGTCTGCAGAAATTAACAGTAAACCCAGCAGATCTCTTCAACTCCTGCTCTTACTCCCATCCCGTCAGAATTCTATTTCATCCCCCCATATCCTTAGTGGTGGCAATGCGTTTC